ACTTCATAACAAAGGAAGTACAACCATTACAAAGTATGCAGTATATGTCTTAAATCGACCATTAGCAAATGGTGTTGGGTCCCCAGTGGGAACCAAGGAGTGAATGACAAAATAGCATTGCTTACCGTCATTTTCACTGACCTACCTTAGAAAGTGGTGATTCCTACCAGAAAAATTTAGGCTCTGCAGATTAAGAAGCCCTGGTTCCCAGGGAGGGGTCCTTTCCACCTGAAACACAGCAAGAATCTCACTGAACCTTAAGTTCTGCTTGTCAACCAGTGACTGCTCTTCTGTCAAGAGACCAATGAACAAGGAGAGGGATCAACATCAAAAAAAAAAAAAAAAAAAGGGTATGGACTCTGTCAAGAATAATTTGTTTCAAATCCTAACTTATTAGCTGTGTAACATGGAGTGGGTGATTTACCTCTCAGTTCCTCACCTTTCCTGGACTTAAAAATGTGTGCTGAGAATAGTACCTAAAACATAGGATTATTTTTTTTATAAGTAGATTTTTAAAAAGATTTTACCCACTTATTTGACAAAGAGAGAGAGAGCACAAGCAGGGGGAGTGGCAGGCAGAGGGAGAGGGAGAAGCAGGCTCCCCGCTGAGCAGGGAGCCTGACACGGGGCTCAATCCCAGGACCCTGGGATCATGGCCTGAGCTGAAGGCAGATGCCCAATCGACTAAGCCACCCTGGTGCCCCCAACAACATAGGATTATTGTGTGAATATAAGAACTTTCCCTTGGGCAGCTCTTAGAATATGACTGGATCCACTGTGATCTTTCACTAACTTTTTGCTATTGTTATAAAACAGAATTGTTCCCTTTTTTCTATTATCATACTTCAGTTTTTGTCAATATTGACAAAACAAAGAACACACAATATGTGTGCATTGGTAGAGTTGGACCATTCTCCTGCATGGCTTTGGGCAGGGAGAAATCACACAGATTCAGGACCATGGAGAGTGATGCCAATCAATCTATCCCCTAACACTAGTGTTAGATAAAGCCTTTGGAGGTGCCTGGATTTTTTTTTACTCCTCTGGGCACTGGACAGCCATAGACCCTGGACAGACACTCACATTCAATCACACAGCATCGTACATTCTTAGAGTATTGTGTGTGGGGGGGATAACTCAGGATTGTGTCTATTGTGGTCAAATTGTATTTCCCAGCAATATCTCTATCCCACATGCTCTACTGCAATGTGACATTGCTATTCCACCATCAAGAGTGAGTTTTATTTTTCACCATCTCCTCCAATCTGGACAGGGCCTGAGATTGCTGGGACCAATAGAATATAGTGTCATTTGTGGACATAGTCCTTAACTAGCCTTCAGCTTTCACTTCCCGTCCCTTAAACACTGCTTGGAGGGCAGCCAACTCTCTTGTAAGAAGTTCAGCTGCTCAGGGACTGCAGTGCTGGGAGAAATCTGAGTCATTTGGAGAAGTCACTTGCAGACGCTCTGGTCAACACTCCCGGCTGAGCTCACAGCCAGCCATATGAGTGAGCCAACAATGGCATCCAACTCAGTCAAACCTTTGAATCCATCAAATCCCAGCTGACATGTGTCTGCAGCCACAGGAGAGAGCCCAAGTGCAATCATTCACTTGAGGGGGAACCAGAGAGGGAGAAGGGTGGTACAGGGACATGTCAGAGGGTACTGACTACCTTCTGCACAGACAACAATTACCAACTCTAGACAAAACAATCAGCAACTCTGGACAAAATGATTTTTTAAAAAAACAACTATTTAAGGGTGCCTGGGTGGTGCTCTCAGTTAAGTATCTGACCCTTGGCTTTGGCTCGTGATCTCGGGGTTGTGATCTTCGGGTTGTGATCTCGGGGTCACGAACTCAGGGTTGCAAGATCAAGCCCCGTGTCAGGCTCTGTGTTCAGCGAGGAGTCTGCTTGGGACTCTCTCTCCCTCTGCTGTTCCTTCCCACTCTCTCTCTCTCTCTAAAATAAATAAATCTTTCTTAAAAATAGAAAAAAACAACTACTTAGGGGCACCTGGGTGGCTCAGTCAGTTAGGTGTCTGACTCTTGATTTTAGCTGGGGTAGATCCCTCAGGGTCGTGAGATTGAGCCCCATGTTGGGCTCTGTGCTGGGCGTGGGGCCTGCTTAGGATTCTCTCTCTCCCTCTGCCCTCCCAAATAAAAAATTTTAAAAATTAAAAACAATTATTTGGAGGCACTGGAGAGAAACCAGAAGCAGGTAGAAACTGGAGAGGATTCGACCTTCAAATGCACTGTGTGAGATCTAAGTTCATAGGGCTTTTCACCTGGGGATGCCTCTCTGTCCATGTGGCAAGGGACAGCTAGAACTCAAGTAGAAAACCATAGTCCTTGACCTGAGTTTGGACACCAGACACCAGAGTTTGGGACTTCCAGAGCAGTTAGAAAGTGGGAAAGGATATCTCAATATGGAGGGAGCTCCAGAAAGAAAGGATCTAAGTCTATATATAACTTACCCTGAATCTTTAATGTGCTGAAAGAGAAAAAGGCTGTCAACACAGAATTCTATAGCCACTGAAAATATCCTGGAAAATTTTAGACAAAATAAGTTGACTACTCTCATTCCTGTCATTCAGCAGGAAAGGAGAAAGGAGAAGAGACAGGCATTGCCATTTCCTGACTCATAAGGTGCTCAGATCACTTTCACTTGCATGCATTGGGCAATACCCAGCTGCCTCAGGTGCAGGGGAGGCTGGGAAATGTTGTCTTTGGTAGAGCACTCTTGAATTCACGTAAAACTTGGGGGTTCTCTAAGTAAAGGAAGAAAGAGAGAATAAATATAAATACAGCTAGCTGGAGTCTTTGCCATTTCTGCTTTTTGACCAATTAGGTGATTGTGTGATGGCTGGATCTGTGGCAGCCATTTTATGATCATGAGGGGAGACAGTACTGATACACTGAGGATAGAGGAGTAGCCAGGTGGAAAGAGCCTAGAACCACTATGACATCACACTCTTGAAACCAGCACTGTTCAATACAAGTGTTATGTGAGCCACATATGTAATTTTAAATTCAAGTAGCCACATTTAAAAAGTAAAAAGAAATATATGAAATAATATATGATCAATAAATATACAAAATATATGAAATGATAAAGAATATATCTGAAATATAATTTCAACAGATAATCAATACAAAAATTATTACTGAGATTTTAGCCTTTTACAGTAAACAAAAATTTTGTACATACATCCATCTACTCCCTAGCTCTGTTCTCAGAAAGAATAGAGACAATGGTATTCCTATAGCAATCAGCCCACCTAGTACTTACATCCTGGTCTCTAAATACTGTTCTCCACTGAAAGTAACCAGATCTTCTTGGAGAAATGGCTCTTTACAGAACTGGGGCAGGGCAAAATTTACTAAAAATCTTATTCCAGGGGCACCTGGATGGCTCAGTCAGTTAGGCATCCGACTCTTGATTTCAGCTCAGGCATGATCTCAGGGTCGTGAAATCGAGCCCCATGTTAGGCTCTGCACTCAGCAGGAGTCTGCTTCTCTCCCTCCCTCTCTCTCTCTCTCTCTGCCCCTCCCCCTAAAATAAATAGATAAATAAATATATTTTAAATCATATTCCAGAAAGCAAGGTGGTGCTCAGAGAATGATGGGGACACACAAAAGGACATAGGCGCCCTCTTAAAAGTGTTCCCATTGACCTGATTGGGGACAACTGGAACAGCGAAATAAATGAGAGTAAGGAATTACAATCCACTGAATAAAATAAGCCATGAGTCCATGCTGATAGAAATTAATCGGTAAATACATAAATGAGGGAGAAGAGAAAAGCTCTTCCTGACAGTAGAATGCCAGCTAAAAAATGTAGAAAGAGAATCACTGGTTGGTAACTGTCCTGACAGTAACAACCAGGCGAACACCGTCAGTGCATGCTAATATGAACAGGTTGGAGTTTGAGAAGGAATATGCATTTACATTTACCTAGTTTTCAAGTCTCCCCCCATACTCACTTGTTACAAAGAGGAAATAGTCACTTTACAGCGGAGAAACTTGGCAGGCACCATCTGAAAAAAATTTTTTAAATAAAAATCCCTCAATTTCTGCAGTGTATTTTATACTTTGAGCCCAGCTCAGCTTATACTAGCTTCGTATCAAGGGCTTCGCTAGCGATGTGTAGCCCGTGGACCATACGGGACCCTGCTGTTCTGGACTTCTCGGGCATGATGACAAATGTTCTTCTTATGAAGGCATTTTAGTGAATATAATTTTATAATAGAATGCATCGAAGTGATCCATTCACATGCCCTCAGAGAGAACACACATGCACACAATCACATATCTACTGCGGTAGGCTGCATACTGGCCCCCCACAGATGCCCACCCCAAGCCCTGGAATCTGTGACTACTTATGTTACGTGGCAAAGGGGTCTTGTGGATGTGATTAGGGTTTGTGGACTTTAAAATACGGAAATTACCCTGGATTATCCTAGTGGGTCCAATCTAAACCCTGAGTCCGGAAGAGCAGAGAACTTTCATGGGCTGGAAGGGGGAAGTCAGAGACATTCCAAACGTGAGAAGGACTTCCCATGCTGTTGCTGGCTCGGAGATGTAGGGTCCCATGCGTCAAGACCAGAAAGAGGCTACCAAGAGCCAAGGATGGATGCTCACAACGTCACAAGGGAACGGGGACCTCGGTCTTACAACCACAAGGAACCGATTCTGCCGACAACTTGAATGAGCTTGGAAACAGGTTCTTCCCAGAGCCCCTCCCCCCCACCACCATAAGAATCCAGCCAGCAACACTTTGTTCAGCCTTGTGAGACCCACAGCAGAGAAACTTTTGAGGTCACCTGGATTTCTCACCTGCAGAAATGTGAGATCTGTCTTCCTTGGAGATGCTAAGTTTGTGATAATTGGTTACATCAGCAAAACAAAAACAAAAACCCCCAAAACAAAAAAAAAACTAAAAATTTAGTCCACACAAACCCACAGTCCCACACCACAAGGAGCAATGTTTCCTCATTTTTTTATTTGTGCAATTTTTATACAAAGTAGAAAAATAAACATTTTAGTGGGTCCACATTTAAGAATCTATGCACATAAATACATAAATAATGACTGGGTGGCAATACATTAAGAAAAGTGGTTGATGCATAAATAATATCTAAGATGTCAGGACAGGGTGCAGGTGGGTCTCGGGGCTCACACACACAGATCTCCACTGGCCACACATTTCAGGTCCCGGGTGAGGAGGCGGAAGAGGTTGAACATGACAGCGGCTTCCAGGCAGCTGAGGGACTCCTGTGGGGGAGGAAGGGCTGGTCAGGGGCTGCCTGTCATCTGGGCTCCCAGTTGTCCCCAGACACTGCTCACTCCCTGGTCACCCACCTTCTTTGGGGCCTCGTGGAGCCGGTGCAGCCGGTGGTGGAGGCGGCTTCGGGGCTGGGGCCCTGCTGGGGGCTGAGCCTCGACCTGTGGGCAGAGGATGGTGGTGTGTGAGGCAGGGCCTGGGGCGGAGGGGGACGTTCAGGTGGTCAGAGCGCAGACAGGGCCTGGGTGCCTCCCCCACTCCCCCCAAGCACTCACACAGGCCTGGAGCTCGGAGTGGATGTGGCGCAGCGTGTGAAGGGGCTGGTCCAGGATGCCCCCCTGGGACCTGTCAGCCATGGTCTCCAGGACCTTCAGGGTCAAGGCCACCTCAGCCTCCAAGGCCACGGGGCGCTCCCACACCTGAGGATGGGAGACAGAGACAGATGAGAGTTGCGCACGAGAGAGGACAGGTGGGGTGGACTGAGGCAGGGACAGATGACAGTAGGCGGACAGGTGAGAGGGCACAGCCAGTGTGCTCAGGGAGGGGAAGCGGTGTGTGGTGCTGGTGGGGAGGGGAGGAGAGACGGACACGTGAGAAGAAGGGGCAGCCTAAGGAGCCAGAGGAGCAGGGCCAGGGGAGGGCAGGGGTGGGCCTGACTCTCCCCTCACCTGCAGCTGCTGCAGGTCCCAGGTCCTGGGGAAGAGGCGGGGGCGGCAGCTCCAGGTCTTCAGGGAGAGCGACTCTTCCTGGAAAGCAAAGGCAGAGGTCAGCCCCCAGCAGGAGGGACAGAGGGGAGAACACTCCAGTAGGATTGGACGATGCTAACAGCCGGAGGAGCTGAGGCTAACTTGCAAAAGGGTGATAGAGGCACCTCCACCACGGGAGGGGTGAGTCTGCCCACTGCGGGACTGGCGGAGGTAGCGCGAGGGAAGGGCGCAGGTCCCCCTTTGCGGGAGGGGAGCACGGTAACCCAGAGAGGCAGGGTGGGGAGGTTAGCCCACAGCAGGCGGGGCAGTGGGGAGACTCACAAAGGTGTCCTTGGCCCTCCTGAAGGCCTGCAGCTCTTGCGGGGACAGAGACTGGAACTGGGCCAAGTGGCAGCCCCTTGCATCCGGGAGGACCCCGAGGGGCTTGGGGCCAGGAACCGCTCCTGCCCTGGTCAGCGCCATAATCATCAGCACCAGCAGGCAGCCCACAGCCATACCTGTGATACGGAAGGACAGAAAGGTGAGGGGTCAGGGAGCATCAGGCGCTGAGGGTGAGCTGAGGGTCACGGACCACGATAGGGGGCTCACCCAGCTTCATTCCTGGACCCTGGTCTCCTTCAGCAGATAGCGGAATCTGGATGTTCTCCTAGAAGCTGTCGCCTGGGGTCCTCACTCAGTCTTGTTTGGCGTCTCTGACTTCAGTGTCCTCCTCTGGATCCCAGCAGACTGCTCTGTCTGTCTGTCTGTCTCTGAACTTCCAGCTCTGCCTGAAATGTGATTCCCACCTGAGCCCCATGGTGCAGCTTTTTTAACTTGGACAGATGGGCAATTCCAGCTGATGTAGGAAAAGTGAAAACACAGCCACCACCGGGGGAGGCCCCAGGCTGGGGAAGCCCAGAGCCAACTGAGCCACGGGAGCGAAAGAGAAACTGGACTCTGATTCAGTGTTTACCTGCGTGAGGGTGAGTTCTGAAGATGAATCGTCGGGACTGGGGCAGTTTCAGCCCTGTCAGGAGGGGTCACGGTGCCTGGAAGGGGCTAGATTCTGCGAGGGCACAGAGGGACTTGCCTTTCTGCAGGGTGCTCTCATGCAGGGAGGGGAGGGAAAAGGCACCCTTGGGGGCTGGTGCCACAAAGAACTTGGAACTTCCAAGAGGGAGGCTGTGTAGGGGAGGGGAAAGGCTGCTGGGCGCAGGAGGAGAGAGTCAGAAAGGCAAAACACCAGAGAATTAGGAGAGGACACCGGCTCTTCCCCACCTGTTCCCACCTGCTACTGACAGAGAGAATGGAGGGGAGGAGAAGAGCCTCCAGGAACATCTTTCATTGTCCAGGCATGAAGGACCCAGGACTATGGCGCTCTGCTAAGGAATTGGGTGTGCCCAAGGACTTCAAGGGAACCAGCTCTGTTGTGACAAATGCCTTCGTTTATGCACCGAGTACTTATTCAGTCCCAGGCACTGCCCAAAGTGCCAGGAATTGGGCACGGAAAACAAAGAAACAAACATAAAACAGTCCTTCACAGAGCTCATTACTAGAGAGGAGTACCAGACAGTGTCGGGGGTGGGGGTTGGGGTGGGGAGCACAAGGTATGTATTATGTCAGGAAACAGAAAATCGAGGGAGGGAAATCATGCAGAGATGAGAGCAGAGTGCAGGAGGAAGTTTGTATTCATGAGGTGGCCTGAGAAAATGACGTTTGAGCAAAGTCCTAAAGGAAGTGAGGGAGGGAGCTACGTGAAGATGTGAAGGAGGAGCCTTCTGGGTAAAGGCAACAGAAGGTGCAAAAGGAAAACAGGACACCCCACCCCTTCTGTTGAGCACTTGTATGTCTCACCTGCTCACAGAGGTTTTGCCACAATGTAGAATTGAATATCCACATTAACACCAAGCACATATTGTGCTTTGCATACATTGTAAATAAGTAGTAATCTGCAGGGACTCAGAGAGGTTAAGAGACCCGCCCAAGGTCACACAGCAAATAAGTGATGAGGGCTGGATATTAATGAATTTTGTCTGACACCTAGACAGTATCCACAGCAGTCTCTGGCCTTTCTGTAGTTAGATCTTCTGAACTTGGAGGTGATGAATTTTTTGGAGAGAAAATATTAAGTCCTTTTTGACACTTGACCCCCACCGTAACCCCTCCTTTCCTTCATTCATAACTCAAGAGAGTGTAGACGGAAGTCCTCAGCTGGGAAAATCTTTGAGCTCTGACATATAAAATTGTTTTAAAACCAAGAGCAGGGATGTACCCAACTCACCTACCAGCGCACTGGTCAATTTCTGTCAATTGCAGGGGCCTTAATTCAGGGGAGAAGACACTGCATCAACAGTGAATTCTGCAAACTGACATCTTATCTCAAAATTCCTAAACTTCGGGGACGCCTGGATGGCTCAGTCGTTGAGCGTCTGCCTTCGGCTCAGGTCATGATCCCAGGGTCCTGGGATCGAGTTCCGCATCGGACTCTCTGCTCCGCGGGGAGCCTGCTTCTCCCTCTCCCTCTGCCTCTGTCTCTCTCTCTGTCTCTCATGAATAAATAAATAAAATCTTTAAAAAAAAAAAAATTCCTAAACTTCGTACTTATTTTTCTCACAAAGGCAGCTCAGTGGGGGTGGTTCAGAGCACTTCCAGACCCTGGAACTAAAGGGTCTGGGGTTCAGACCTGGCGCTGACCCTCACTAACTGTATGACATCGAGAATGAAGCATGCAGTTAGCAACAAAGATCGCCAGCCCAAATCTGGACAAGTTAAAAAAGTACAATTGTTTGTGGACTTATGTGTGTGCGGTTATTTAATGGAGATCCCTTTTTTTTTTTTAAGATTTTATTTATTTATTTGAGACAGAGAGAATGAGAGAGACAGAGAGCACATGAGAGGGGGCAGGGTCAGAGGGAGAAGCAGGCTCCCTGCTGAGCAGGGAGCCCGATGCGGGACTTGATCCCGGGGATCCCGGGGATCCCGGGGATCCCGGGACTCCAGGATCATGACCTGAGCCGAAGGCAGTCGCTTAACCAACTGAGCCACCCAGGCGCCCTAATGGAGATCTCTTAAGACCACACTATGACCTCACCTGTAAGCTTTATAAACACTATTTCAATGTACATTACTCACTTGCAAGGACAGTATAATAATGTCATTGTATAGATGAGAAAACCAAGGGTCAGAGAGAAGGTATTTGCCCAGAGTTACTCCATAATTAAATGGCAAGGTCAGAAATGAAAGTCAAGTCATCTGATTTCCCTGGCTTAGCATTTTTACTGAACAGTGCACCCCAAAATGGTCACAGGGGAAACAACCAACACAAATGCAATAATATTTAATAACTGGCAATAAATTAACACCAGCAGACCAACAGCGGATAAACACGGGAATTTTGCAAATACAAAACACCCATAAGTAACAGAATCCAAAAACACTACAATAACTTAAGAACTTTAAGACCTTTCATTACCAAACCCCTCAGGGAATGTATGGGGCCTCCCCACTGGGGAGATTCAAGAGTCACAGATTCATACAATCTCAAAGTGGGAGTTGAAGGTTCAAATGTGGGGGGGGGGCTGTTCTGGGAGAGAGCTTCTGGGATTCTGGTAACCACAGAAGTAGAAACTGGTCCATGGTACGTGGGGGTCAGCGACCAAGGCAGACTCCAGACTCAAGTCTCTTCTAGCCACACCAGGCGCCTGGAAGATCATAGGGCAACGCGTCCCACGGAAATATCGCTGCATTCAGGGAACTCGGTCTGGTCTTGGGGAAAGCGCCAGCGCCTCCGGCCCTCAGTGCAGGTGGGTGGAGGTCCGGCCAACGCAGGCTGAGAGTCCCCCGAGCCTCAGCGCCCACTGGCTGAGACACCCGCCTGCTCCAATGCGCCAGCAGAAGGCAGCCCCCGCAGCCGCCCGCCTGCAGAGCTGCGGGTCCCAGGCGCAGCCGCGGCGGGGATCAGAGACAAGGCCCCGAGTTCGCCACCAGCTTCAGGTCCCACGTGAGCAGGCGCAGGAGGTTGAAGATGACGCTGGCTTCGTGGCACCGACGCGAGTCCTGGAACCCGGGACCCCGGGAAGGAGGCGGAGCCGGGTTGAGCCAGGAATTCCCTCCGGGACAAAGTCCCCTCCAGTCGCTCACCGCTCAGAGTCTGAGCTCCCACCCCGTGTCAACCTCACACGGTCCTCCCTGCGGTCTAACCGCCCCACCGCCCGCGCCACTCACAGCTCTCCGTGTTTGGGGACGCCTCCTCGGTGGCCGCAGGGACTTCCTCCACGAGCCTGGCCGCACCAGCTCGAGCTGCAGGGGGAACACGAGGGACATGGCGACGGCGAAGAACCGAGTGTCCCGGGGACTCTGCCCGTCACCCTCCCGGCCGCAGACCAAAGCCCGGACTGGGAGACCCCGAGACCACGCGAACCGTGGCTGCGGAACAGCTCGGCCAAGCGGGTGGGCCCGGGCTGGAGGCCCGAGGGGCCGGGGGCGCGGGCGGCACTCACGCAGGCCCCCACGTCCCGCCGCGCGGCCGCCAGCAGCTCCAGGGTCGGGCCGGTGCCGGGGAACCGCTCGGGGCTCTGCAGGCGCCTCAGCACCGCCTGGGCGTCCGCCAGGCCCCGGACCACGAGGCGGAGGCGCGCGCACGACTGCGGGGGGAGCCGGCGGCAGTTAGAGAGGCCGCGCCCCCGGCCCGCGCCGTCCCCCGCCGCCCGGGCCCCTCCTCCCCTCCTCCCCTCCCGCCCCGACGGCTCGGCCGCCTCACCCAGGGCCGCGGAGGATCCCTCCTCGGGCGGAAGGAGCAGTTGCGCGGCCTCCAGCTCAGCGTCTCCTCCTCCTGCGGGACGAGGGCCGGGGTGAGGCTGGGCCTCCTCGCCACGCCCCCGAAGCGCTGCGACGGCGGGGATTCCTGCACGTGGGACGCGCCTGGCCGCGACCGTGGTGCGGCCTGTGCACGGAACCCCGCAGCTCTCCGAAGGCGCGAACGGTGGCAGAAGGCACCCCGCCGGCCCCTTGCGCGGACGTGGAACCGAGCCCGCCTGCAGGGGGCGCCCTGGGGGGGGGGCGACTGCACAGAGGCGGGGCCGGGGCTCAGCGCCCCCCTCCCCTCCCCTCCCCTCGGCGGCCCGCAAGAGCTGGTGCGCAGAATTCTGCCGGCGATCCGAGCCGCCCTGCCGGGCGCTAGGGCGCAAGGGCCGTCGCAGACGGGGACCGGCGCCTGGGACCCGGCCGGCCCTCGGGCTCGGGGCGGGGGGCGGGGGGGGAGGTCTGGGCATCACTCACGTAGCGGTCCCTCAGCGCCTTGACGGCCGCCAGCGCCCTGGGGTCCAGCGAGCGGTAGTGTGACAGGAGGCAGCGCCGGGGCGTCGCCACGCCAGGGTCCGCCGCCTCGCCCGCCGTCAGCAAGACCCACAGCGCCACGGCCGCCGCGGCTGCGCCCCTCGGGCCCATCTCTGCTCGTGCGGAAGGCGCGGGACGGCGGGCGAGAGGCCCAGCGCCGGCCTCTGCAGGGCCTCGCACAGGGGCTGATGCTCGGAGCGCCGGCGGCTGGCGGCGGCGGCGGCGGCGGCGGGAGACAGGAGGAGCCCGCAGACCCCCTCCGGCCGTCGGCGTCTGTGCGCTCCCTGCTCCCCTGCCGAGTGCCCTCGGTGCCTCCCTGGGGCGGCAGCGGGCCCTGCCTCCCGCTGGCCCCGGCGTGGTGCCCACCTCGGACAGCGGTGCCTGCGCCCTCCATGGCGGCTTTATGTGAGCGGCGGGGACCCGGTGAGCCACCGGGCTTTCCCTCGCGGTCCCGCTCAGCTTTCCGAACGTCAGCGCTGGCCGCGGGCCGGGAGGGATGCTCGCCAGCGGGTGAGGACTTTACCCGCGCGCGGGACCGTGCCAGCCATGACTCTGCCCCGAAATCTGCCCTCAGTTCTGGTCCCTGTCCCACTCTGTACCCTCTCTTCTTGTCGTCAGCCTCGGCGTCCTTATCTCCGGTCTATATATAATACAGAACTGTATCCAGTGGCTGTACAGCAACCAGCCATTGTATAGGGCTTACTGTGTCCTAGACCCTGTTTTAAGTAATCCATACACAGGTGTCACTTAAAAAAAAAAAGATTTTATTTATTTATTTGAGACAGAGAGCATGACTGGGGGGCAGAGGGAGAGGAAGAAGCAGACTCTCCGCTGAGCAGGGAGCCTGATGCAGGATTTGATCCCAGGACTCTGGGATCACAACCTGAGCCAAAGGCAGATGCTTAACCGACTGAGCCACCCAGGTGCCCCAAGGTGTCACTTTTAATACCCAAATAAGGGCTCTGCAAGGGATGCCCTATTATTAACTCCATTTTGTAGATGGGAAAAGTGAGGTACAGTAAAATGAAGGAACTTTTCCAAGGTAGGCAGTACCTGACGGAGGCTGGATTTGAACCTACACACTGTCCGGCCCCAAGGCTTTCTCTCTAAGCCATAATTGCCGCTACATATCTGATTCGGTCCTCTCTCTCCATCTCTGTTCATCTCATTCCATTCCTTGTTCTCCCCTGTGTAGAGGCCTCCGGTGGCTCTTGTTCTTGTTTCTGTCTCTGATTTTGTCTCAGTCCGTCTGTATCTCATTCCTTTTTCTAGCAATCATCCAGCCCAGGATCCCTCTGTCTGTCTCTGTCTGTCTCAATCTCCTTGTTTTAGTTTACAAATAAAATCTACTTCACCTTGCAACTACTGTCCAAAAAAAAAATCTACTTTTTCTGATAACATCAGCAATGCTGGTTCATGGAAAGTACAGAAATGCGTAAAGGAGAAAAAATACCCATTGATAACTGCACCACCTACCTCTCTCCCCTCAGCCTGGCTCTGGAACCATGTTTCCAATGTGTAGAAATTTTATGCCTGTTTATTTGTGCATATGTTTCCTTTTTTTTTTTTTTTTAGATTTTATTTATTTATTTAAGTGAGAGTGAGAGAGAGCATGAGACGGGAGAGAGTCAGAGGGAGAAGCAGATTCCCCACCGAGCAGGGAGCCCGATGCGGGACTCGATCCTGGAACTCCATCCTGGGACTCGGGGATCATGACCTGAGCCAAAGGCCGTCACTCAACCAACTAAGCCACCCAGGCACTCCTGTGCATATGTTTCCTGATTACTAAAGTAACACATCCGAAGATTCAGTACAAAACATTGGACTTGGAGAGTTAAAGGAAGACTTTAATCCCACTTCCTGGAGGTAATTCTTTTAAACAATCAGTAGCAATTCCATGGACTATCTCCCTCCCCTCCACACACACCCTCTTCTTTTTCTTTCTAGGAATAATTTCTCCTAGACTGAAATCAGGCTGTATACAGTTTGGTAGCCTGCTTTTAATGTCTTACCATTCTCTCTCATTTGCATTTCTCCACATCTTTAATGATACTGTACCAGTTAGGGTCCCAGCAGGAAACAGATGGCCCAATCCATTTAGGATAATTTGAGGTGAGCTTAATACCGGAAGTATTTACAAAGGGTTTGGGTGGTGAAGGTAAAGGATGAGGGGCAGTGCAAGGCCTTGGGGCCCTGGATGGGGGAAGGTCTGTCCTCCTTACGTCCAGGGGGAAGGGAAAGGGGAGGGAGTGATTACTTGACCTGGGAAGGAAAATCTTGTTCCCAGGATGGACAAATACACAAATTGTCATGACCCTGCAGGGAGGAAGCCTGGGGATTAAATATACTCTGACCTCTCAAAGAGTAAATACTCTCCTTTCCTCTCCCTGGGCCTACTGTGAGGCCTCCAATTGGCTGCACCCAATGGAGGCCAAAGGCCAGCCTCCTGGGCTCCGGAGCAGGGGGGAAGCAGTCACTGGGAAGAGTGATGCGGGGGTGGGGGGGGTGGGCAAAGGAAAACATCCCACATATACCACTATTAAGGCTTCCATTCTAATGGCATCATTTAGTAACCAATCCCCTCTTGGTGGGCATTGAGGTTACCTCCAGGTTTTATTAAAGCCATTGTTCTCAAGGCTAGTGGAGAGGAAGGTAGTAATTTGTTCATTCTCTTAACAGCTGAAGTTTTTAAGTTGAATAAAGTTTACCTCCTCGATTTTTTTCTTTTGTGGGTTGTGCTTTCGGTGTATCTCAAAAGTCATCACCAATATCCAAGGTCCCCTAGATTTTCTCCTATGCTGTATTCTAGGAGTTTTATAGTTTTGCACTTTATATTGAGATCTATGATACATGGTGAGTTACATGGTGAGTTTTATCATGCAAACAAGGGGCTTGAACTTATGACCCTGAGATCAAGAGCTGAGCAAATCAAGAGTTAGTCACTTGGGGCGCCTGGGTGGCTCAGTCAGTTAAGGGTCTGCCTTCGGCTCAGGTCATGATCTCAGCGTCCTGGGATGGAACCCCAAGTTGGGCTCCCTGCTCAGCCCGAAGTTGGCTTCTCCCTCTGTCTCTGCCCCTCCCCCCACTCATGCACGTGCTCTCAAATAAATAAATAAAATAAAATAAAAAAGAGTTGGTTGCTTAACTGACTAAGCTACCTGGACGCCCCTGTTCATTGCTATTTTTTAAAGATTCGTTTATTTATTTGAGAGAGAGAGTTGGGGGAGGAGCAGAGGAAGAGAATCCTCAAGCAGGCTCCCCGCTGAGCACAGAGCTCAACCACGACCCTGAGATCATGGCTTGAGCTGAAACCAAGAGCCAGATGCTTAACCGAATGAGCCACCAGGGCGCCCTGTTCATTACTTTTATACAAGAAAACCATAGACTTTATTATGTTAACTCGTGTCCTGCAACCTTGCTAAAATGATGTATTGGTTCAGAAATGTGTTTTTAATGCATAATCTTAAATACACAGGACTATGAAGAAAACTCGTTGTATTGAAACACAGTTACCAAAACATAAAAGCAAGTTTGTAATAAGTAATGCGTATGCCTCTTTATCAATGCATTAAGTAATAAGATACTGCAATAGGTTTAACAACTACTATCCTTTTGAGGTAGTAATGAGAGTAAATGATATATCAAGACATGTGCCACATCTGTAATGGACCGTGAAAATATCTGTGATTTCTTTTAGCAACAAAGTCACAGTTTCCGCTATTACTATTGTGGTTTGTTGCTTACATTGATAATGGAAAGAAATGGTAACGTTCAGTTAGAGACCAGTGAAAATGAAAATGCATCTTTTTCTCATGCAAGTTCAGCCTCCCCTGAGTCCTACTGTGGGGGTGATCTGTGGATCCCAGGTTAAGGTAGACCTGCAGCCATTAAATAGAATGAAGCAGATCTATATGTATTGACATGGAAGACTCTTCACGACATACTAGAGAGTGAAAAAAAAGTACACTGCTGAACAATACACCTAGTGTCACACGTGCAAAAGCAGTTCAGTGGAGAAAAATAGCCTTTTCCACCAACAGTGCTAGAGTAGTTGGACATGCACAAGCCAAAAAGTGAACCTTGATCTAAACTTCACACCTAAAAGAAAAAGTAACTCAAATGGATCACAGACTTAAATGTAAAATATGAAGCTATAAGACTTTTACGGGAAAAAAATCACAAAGAACATCTTTGGGATCTAGAGCTTGGCAAAGAGTTTTTAGGCTTGGCACCAAAGGCTCAATCTGTAAGAGGACAATTCATCAACTGGACACGACTGAAAATTTTTCCTCTGCGAGAGACCATGTTAAATGGACAGAAAGACGAGCTAAAGACTGGGAGGAAATATTTGCAAACCACCTATCTGATCAAGGACTTGTACCTAGAGTATACAAAGAACTCTGAAAACTCAACAGTAAAAACTTAAACAGTCCAGGGGTGCCTGGCTGGCTCAGTGGGAGGATCGTGCAACTCTTCATTTCGGGGTCATGAGTTTGAGCCCCATGTTGGGCGTAGAGATTACTTAAATAAATAAAACTTTAAGAAAAGTAAATAGTCCAAGTGGGAAATGGGCAAAAGACGTGAAGAGACATTTCACTGAAGAGGATACACAAATGGGAAATAAGCACATGAAAAGATGTTCCACACCATTAGCCATTAGAGAGATGCAAATTAAAACCACAATGAGATCTCATTACACAGCTATCAGAATGGCTAAACCGAAAAATAATGACAACATCAAATGCTGGTGAGGATGGAGGAGAAACTGATTACCCATCGTTGGTGTGAGTGCAGAAATGGTACAGCTACCCTGGGAAAAAAGGTTAGCAGTTTCTTAAAAAACTAGACATGCAAACGCCACATGACCTAGCAATTGTGTTCCTGGACGTTTATCCCGGAGAAATGGAGACTTATGTTCCCACAACATCCCCCATGTGAATGTTTATCGCAGTTTTATATGTAACAGTCAAAAACCAGAAGCAATCCAGATGTCCTTTAACAGGTGATGGTTAAACAAACTGTAGTCCATACGTACCACGGAATACCATTCAGCAAGAAAAAGGAACAAACTCTTGATACACAACTGTCTGTGTAAAACTCCAGGGAATTAT